GTGCTAAAGTAAAAAAAATGAGTAGAAAAGAGAGATCAGGTCGAACATCGAATTTGGAATAGTTTTTTGTTTTCTTTTTTTTTTTTAATTTTATTTCACTTCAAAGATTTTTTAGATTTCAGACTTTCTTAGGCTGGGGGTTTTATCGGACTGAAAAAATTTTTTTTTTGGATAAATTCGCTATTCTTTTCTTTGTTTCTCATACTCTCCATTTACTTTTTTGTTTAATTCTAATTCTTGCACTTGCTAGATGAAAGAAAAAGCAGTCAAAGTTTTATTCCTTATTTGCACTTGCCAGTGTTTTTTATTTGATGGATTTTTAAGCCTAAATTAATTCCACGTTTACTATCAGATTGCGGAGACAGTTATGTTGCAGCTGGTTCGGTGGTCTAGGATCTTGATAGTGGACGTTTTCATTACCCTCCTCTTTCTGTGTTTTTAAAAACTCTTATCATTCTTTGCAGTAATGGCTTATGTTCAGTGCTTGGCCGTGGATAGAATGATTTGTTTCTGATGCATCTCAGTTTAGTGGACAGTACTGAAATGTTTTCAAAACATTCTGTAGCGACGTAGTTGATATACATTTGATTTGTTTGGTTTAGAAAGTCTTATCTAGCAAAGGAAAAATTTTTTTAAGTTGTTATGAAGAAGAATCAGAAGCAAAAGTGTATTTATCCACTTTAAACTAACAAAAAAAGAAAAAAATATTTTCAGCTGAACTTTCATTGTGCAAACATGGTGCAGGGTTAGTTCTCGAAAGTATGAAAATAATTTTTTGTTTTCTATACCTCTGTTGTACTGAACATGAAGAAGGTATGTTAATTTGATACGGTAAAATGAAACGATAAGTATGTGGTGCTGTTGATAAAACAATAGGTCAAGGTGCCAAACTGTTGTCTTTGCTGTCCGCTCCGGAGATCATGTGCCATTCAAGGGCCTAAAATAACGGGGGCATACCGCTGGACCGAGGTCGCAGAGACCGCCGACAGATTCGCCGACATCCATTTGGAAACAAGTGGATTAAAAAGTGCAGCTTTAGCTGACAGGCAACGGATTCGGGTGCAGCCAGATCCACCGATTATCGTCATCTGGCAATGCATGATGCAAATTTTTGTCTACATTCAATGCAGTGTATCAGAAGGTATCAGAAGCAGTACCAATAAAATAGTGTTCACATGTTATGCATTTAATTTTTCATTTTCATTTATGCTTTCCGTTGTTTCCGCACAACCTTGTTGGTCAAAAGACGGGCATTTTTAAAATGAACATTGCTTTCGTAGAGTTCTTTCGCTGATAACCAATGCTACTTTTTTTTTCCTCCGCTTTTGGATTACTGAGGACAGAAGCGCTGTTTACGATTTAGGGTTTTATTCAATTGTATAGGATTTTTGAAAACAGTGAGAATAATTGTTCAAAATGTATATCAAATTTTTTGTGCAATTTTTCCATTCATCAAACTGCAATATTTGCTCCTTTCTTTTTTTTTTAAAGATTATTTGTTTTCATTGTCAGGAGTGAAAGTGTTAAAGATTTATGAGACATTTCTATGTTTCTTTGTTGTTTGGCAATTCTGTCTAAAAATACTGTTGCGGGTGATATGGAAGACGTCCAGATGACCTAGGTACTGAGGTTGAATATTGTTTTTATTGAACTGATTGAGGCCTATAATTCTTTTGATTTCTCCTTGCCTACCTTTTGTTTTCTTGATCAAAAAAATGGCTTTTTCTTCCTTGCAAATGCGTTTTCTGCTGATATTTTATTTAGTAGTTGTGTTTAGGAAATGTCAGTTGGATCTGCTGCTTATTCTATTTTTATTTAGAGGCGATATTGCGGAATAAGGTACTGATCGCATAGATAAGGCATAGATATAATTGTGGTTATTTCGGATCCCCGTATTACTGCCAGCAATTTTCAAATGATTGCTAAAGATAAAGGAGCAGAAAAGAATATATATATATATATATCTATATGAAAATACAGTTTCTAAGATAAGACGAAGAAAGTAACGACAGTTGCAGTTTGTACTGCATTTTCATTTTTCGTACAGCATTCTATACAGAAGTTTATTTGGCGGATCACTGGAAACCTGTTATTAATTTTGACACAAACTTTTTTCTCCTCCGTCTCGCTCTTATCTAATTTTCGACGCGTGAACATCACTAGCCGTTCAGATGCACTTTGCATTAAATTTTTTTTGTTTCATGTTTTTTTTTTTTTTTTTTTTT